AGTAGGTAACCGGATCGGCAACTTGAGCATTATAGAAAACTAAGGACCCTTTGAGCTACCGTACAAGATTTCTGTTGTAGACCACCAGAAAGAAGTCGCATACATCCTTTTAATGGAATGCTGGAGAGCAGATCCTACTTTCTTTAGACCATTTTTCAAATCCATTTTGCTGGTTATTCAAAATATTACCAGTACCTGGATCCTAAGAAACTTCATACCATATTTTATTGAGTTACTGCTCCCTTCCCACTCGACCTCTCCCAAATGAAGTGTCTGAATTGCATTTCCACACGTTTTGCCCACCTTCACAGGGATCCTGAACAAAGACTAAAAGAAGTATGGAATAACAGACAAAGATCAAAATAAAGTAAGCTTATCCCTGCGGTTTCAAAGTCGATTTATTACAATTTGAAAAATCCTCTAGGATTTCTCTCAGAAGTAAAGCAAAAACAATTTGATAGTAAAAGTTCTATTAGTACATTCCCAGTAGGTAGCAGTGGCAGAAACTTCCTCAAGCTTTCTTAATAGTGCTGGAGCTCCTGTTGTAGTGGGAATTAAGTGAAACTTATGGGTACATGTTTTTAATACTTGGTTGTCTATTGTCTGGGTGGTACTCCTTGGTTACTCGATGTACAAGACATGTTGAGGGGACAGGGGGTTGTTTTGAGATATTATGCATCACACATAAGAGCCCTGGTACTGCCTACATAATTGGAATAATTACTATTGACGAAGTTAAATTTACTATTGTCCTATTAAGCCTTCTGTGTTTAAAATTGAATATGCTTATTGAGCTATTGTTACTCTTAGCGACCTTTTATAGTCATGCCTGCTTACGCTGTATTGGATCTTGTTGCAGATTTTCATTGCTGGGATCTCAAATAGAATATCTTCTGAAATGGTAATTTGAGGAAATATTTGATTCACCTTCTGATCTTCACCTTTTGCAAGAGTTAGTTTTAATTTTGCAGCTGTGCATTCGGTGATTGTTTCTTTGTTATATCGCTCCAGCTTAGGGATATTGTTACTTCCTTTGGACCTTTGAAGGCCTATCACTTTGAGATCAACGGGGATCTTAATGAACCGTGTGCCTTTTTGGAGGTGAATTGTCATGTCTTATATGTATTATTTTAGCATGCTTGTCTCAAGAGCTATTTCACTATTTGTAATGATCTGGAAAGAATCTATATTCTCGTGGTGATCCCATCATATTTATATAAAAAATTCTTCACAGAAAATGCTACTCAATTAATTCTTCAAATACTGCGATGGAAGACTATGGTACTGTCTTGTATTTTGCTTTTGCTCCAGGACCAATTAAGTTCTCTATATTGTCTCTTCATTTAATAAATGCTTGATAAATCAATCCACCTTGATTTTCCATCCCCTTTTTGTTTTTAGTCTTTGAAATTTATTAATGATATATGTCAATATGGTTATGATTTGAATTGTCTATGAAAGAATGTAGATCATCTTGTACTTTGTAGCATTACTTTATAGAATCAAAGGAAATGTCTTGCACCACTCAACGGCATTTTTTTGTGATTCATTTTATCAGACAATTCATTACCATACGCATTATTTTTGTCATCTCTGCCAAATGGTGGACTTAGGAAACAGGTTTTCAATTTCTCATCATATGCTTAGAGGAAATTTGAGTAGATAGCAGCACATACGGGATAAAATAATATCCTTGCATTATTTTTTTTGGTAGTATATGCAATCCCTTAAGACATGATTTAGTGATATTTCCTTAATGCTTCTTGATCACAGTCTTAGTCCGGGAGTTGGTGACTTCAGTTAGTAGTGTCCTGTCATCCTCCTCAAGAGGGGCAAATATGGGTTGCTTCTTATTACAGTGAAAGATTCAACGTGCAAAGTTTTACTGATTAATGGGCGCTTTTAAATCTTTTGGTTTCTAACCAATGCACATAGAATGCTATTTTCTCTAGGAATCATCAGACCAATGCAAAGCAGAAGGTAAAAATGCAACGTAGTATACTATTTGTTTTTGAACTTGCTTATGGTAGCCATCAAGAGACTTCAACTATCATAATCCTAAACATTGGCTTCCTAATAGGGTCAGTTCAGTTTCTGATGGAAACGATGCAGGATAGATTGTTGACTTCCTTAGGGATTTCTTCTTAACATTTCGTTTAAGACTTCTACATTTGAATACATGCCATTGATTTTGATTGATGGGAGGCTTTTTGCCACTTTATTGGTAAACCACCATGTTCCAGCTCTTTATTTATTGACTTACACTGGAACTCTCATTTATAGGCAAAACGTATGTTAGGTAATTGATATATTCACCAAACAGATTACTTCAATGACTCTTGGCTATTTAACTAGGAGAAACTGTTCGCACAAACATGCAGAATGAATGCATGATAAAACTTCATATTTATTTGTTCCTTCTAGGCAGCAACATCCGTGTCAACATATTCATGATGTTCATATATTTGCGGTCATTATAGCCCATGACAATCCTTGATCATGTTCAAGTATTTTTGTTTGTTTGTTGACAAGTATGATGAAGATTGAGTTATCAATTTTTTTCTCTTAACGCTCGAGTAGATGATAGCTGTTGATATATGTATTTGTACCTGTTACTATCTTGTTCACTTGAGTGTTGTACTAGATTGGCGGTTGATAAAGTTATGACGAGGTTATTTTTTGTATTATATGCCATTTATTGCATCAATCTTCATTATCACAATCTCACTTAATTTATTTATCAGTATGTTGACCAATCGGTTATGCCTAAAGCCTGTGCTGGTCTAAATGGTATGAAGATTGGAGGGGAAGTACTAAAAGTTTTTTCAGCCGTTCCTTTTGCGCCATTGGTACTTCATCAATTCCTCCTTTTCCCATAATTTTTTTGTGACAATTATTGATCACAATGAAGCGCCTTGAAAGTTGAAAGTGTTTTATTTATATTTCACGTGGTGATTTGTGACTTGCTTACCAAGTAAACAACATATGTTAGGAACGTAATGGATGTCAGCCATGTTATGGGATCCCAGAGCATGTAAAACCTCTTCTTCAACAGCCAACAGTAGTGTTAAAACTTAATAATGTGGTACGTTAATTTTCTTCTTGCTCCCGAAACCACCCACCTCGCCCACCCAACAGAAAAAACATGAGCACACACATATGCTGCATAGTCACAGTGTAGTTTAATAATCATGTGGGAATAAATATTATGCAATGTCATTTACAATCTTTTGATTATGTGTTTTCCTTTTGAAAGCAGTTCGGTGCAGATGTTCTACCTGTACTCTCTGAGTCAAATATTGACGAAGTTCTTGAAGATATTCGGTTTGAATGTGCCAGGTCCTTGAGAGTTACTAATAATGTATCTTTCCTTTAATGCGATTGTTGTTAAATAATCCATGAAATTTTGTAGGTTTGGGACTGTTAAATCCATGAATGTTGTAAAGCCATGCAATAGCTTTGTCGGTGCTGAAGAAAAATACAAGAACACTAATGATGTGGAGATCAAACATGGGATTCAGGGAAACAGCACATTAGTGCCTTCAAGAAACGATAATGATCTTGAAGATGATGAAGCTAACCTTAATGATCGCCCCAATGAAGTTGTGGAGAACAAATTGTGTCAAATGGGCAATGATGATGCTCCGTGTTTTGAAGACGTAGCTTGTGAGAATACATTGGAGAGCATCCCTGGAGGAATCCCTGGACGGCAGAGCAGCCCAGGAAATGAACTTCGTGACACAAACGTAGCTGAAATGGTTGAAACTGATGAAAAGGGCTCAGATAACAAATCAATGCTTCTAGATGATTCAACTACAGTGGGGGCTGATAGTAAGAAGAAAGTTTTAAATGGATTGGATGCCATGGTGAGAACGGATTCTGATGCATTTGAGAAGGTTGAAAAGAAGGATCCTAGGACAAATTTATTTGTGTTGGGGAGTGTTTTTGTTGAGTTTGGTAGAATGGAAGCCTCGTGTATGGCTGCACACTCTTTACATGGAAGGATTTATGATGGGCAAGAGATTTGCATCGAGTACATTCCTCACGATCTCTATCGTAAGAGGTTTCCTAAATAACTACTGCAGCTGATTATTGGATGTGGTGATTCAACTGGTCACTGGAGACCTCTGGCAACGAAGACTCCACTTGTTAGCAAATTTGACTACCGAAGAAGGCATTTGTTGATGGCTCATTTTAGGCCAGACTCGATATTTTTTTGATCATTTGGTTCAGAATGTGAAGCAGGCTGTTGTTGGTGAAACAAATCATTTCTTGAGTACCATTTTGACAAGTGCTGGAATGAAAGCTTGTGATAATATAATGCTCCATAGCTTTTGAGGCCTTTTAACTAGTCCACTTGCGTTACTGATAGATTTTCTTTATAATGCTTAACAGGTGCAAGGAACTAGGTTATGGACATGAAGGGTTTACAGGTAAGGATATGCTTACCTTTTAAACATGACTTCCATATCTATTATCCCATGTATTTGTTTTACTGCCGAGCTCTCGACATTCTCGTGCCTTATCATCTTTGTTGATGATGATCTCTCTTTCACAGTTGAATTAGTTATTTTAATACAAGGGATCATCGTTTCTTCGTTGTTGTTTTTTACCTAATGGACTGGACCACCTCCATGATGTTCGTAGGGGTGTAAATAGAAATGTAACAAGGTCTTAGTTTATCAAATTGTCATAATTAAATGATAGTGGAATTTTTAGTAGTTAAAGTTCTGAATACTTCATGTAGATTATCTAGGAGATACAATTTTGTTAAGAAGCTATACCTGGGAACCAAAAAATATGCTGCTTGGTACCCCAAATCCGGAATATAAGTGTCAAGACATTGTAAATCAATGTCTCATGAGATCGTAAAATGACTGTTGAAGTTTTTTGGTTTTACTTTTTTGATTACAATAGGTGGAAATGAAGATTTGAACTCACGATCTTTTGGTCAGTAATAGGTATCTTAACCCGTTGAGCTATACTAAAGTTCAAAAATTTTGATGGTATCGATGGCAATGATTGATAAAGAAAAAAAGTGCTATGAGTATGGGGCAGCTCGTGATGAGGTTTTGGCTGTGGCCATTCTTTCAAGGATACTTCGATTTTAGACCGTGTTGTGTTGGGGAATGCTTAACAGCCTATTAGTTCGAAGGTAGTTGCATAAATCATGCTGAACTTTGATTCTTTAAATATAAGTTTGTTATATCTTATGTCGGCTAAAGTGTGATCTAATAGTCTTTTAGAACTTAATTGTAAGATCACATGTCATTAAGAGAGGTTGGTGACAATTGGGAGATGTCTAAACTATGGAGAAGAGTAAACTTTAATTTCGAGTGATAGAAACCTTAACATTCATAGGTTGTATTTATGAACAAGATAAGCATATTATCAACCTTTAGATCTATGATTCACATAATAAATTTGTGGGGTTTAGTCGCTGTTCTTCAGTGAATAGACTCTTTTAGCGTATTAAAAAGAAAAGGACTTTTTTAGCCGCATTGGCATCACTCCCCACATTGAAGCTTTATTTATCATAATTGAAGAATTTTGTACTAGAATGATTAAAGGGTTATGCTCTTTGCAATATTCATAATTTTTTTTTTATCATTGATATTTGATAAGGAGAAATTAGACCTTTAAATAATGAGCACTGAGAAGTATACTTTGTGTTATTAGATCATCTTAATGTCTTGTACTTTAACGATGTTGAAATGGAGTATGAAACTTTGAAGCTCATTTGAAATTTAAAAAGGTCTCAACATAATTTTTTTTTATGTAATTTTAATATGGATTGATATAGAACTAAAAGTAAAATTGACATAATAATATTCACGTGTAGAAGGAAAGGTTGACAAACGTTTAAATAAGCTTATGCATGTAGTGATGATCGTACAAAGTGCATGCATGTGATGAGTAATCAGATTTTTTATGCAATGTAAAGTTCAATGGTGTCCACCACCAAAGCCGCCACCGCCTCCGCCCCCACCGCCTCCTCCGCCAAACCCACCTCCAAATCCACCGCCCGAGCCGCCTCCTATTCCTCCTCCAAAACCACCACCCTTTCCAAAGCCACCACCAAAACCTCCAC